CACATATAAAAATACTTGAGATCAAGATTAACTTTAGTGAATATCATCTGCATATCTCTGTAAGTTCAATTGTGTTTCTTACAATCCCTGTCATATTACAACAGAGGCAATAAAAGCTTCAGTGAAATTGCCATGACTAAATCTTTTCACATATTTCAGTGTATTTTTTTTTTAATAGACTGTAATATACTTGAAAACTTTTCCAGGAAGTATAATTATCTATGGAAAGAGCATTGTGATGGCACGTTTTGGGAAGAAAAGACATGCCAAGTCTTGTTTACTACATTTAAAATGTTTACAATTATACTAGGCTGCTTTATTTAACAATACTGTAGTTGTGTAATATAGCATTTAAGTATGTGTCCTTTGTTAGGCTTTTAAAAAGTTTTAATGAGAGAACGTAAATTTATTCCACAAAATAACACGGGAAATCTTTTACCTAATATCCTTAGTGGGAATTCTTACTTATGCAAGGTACACTATTCTACACCCCTGGAAGATTTAAGTGAATGAAGTGTTCATTTACTTTTTGACAATAAAATCAAGAAGTTTGAGTAGTTATAGCTAGTTTAATGTGCACTTTGGTGATGACTTTTAAACATGTTGCTATAAAGACTACATATTGTAAACCACTTGTAATTTTTACATATGAATGACAGAAGAAAGTTAAAAGACTAATTGAAACAGTTTTGGAATAAACAAGGAAGATGGCACTGGGAAAATTTAAGGTTCACAAAGTATGCCTTTGTAAAACTGAATCAACTTTTAGCAAGAATTTATGTAGTCCTCAAATGTTAAATTTTGTATATTTAATAGAAAATAATTTTCTGACACCTCACCAGTTTTCTTTAAATGTTTTCTTATACTTTTTAATAATATGATTTATATTGAATACTTAGATGTTTTGATAAGATTTTATCAAATTTGATGATGTAATGATAAAATGTTTTCAAGTGTGAACTATTTAACATATATCTTAATAACTAAAGACACAAAACCTGATTGTGATTTCTACATAATGTGATAATTAGGGTTCGAATTATGGCTCATCTTTAATTAATTATAAAGGAGTATATTTCTGAACTCTTTATTGCCTCCATTTTTACAATCATAATATAGCAATAATTTCTGTTTTTATTTTACAGAAATGTGGTGGAGTTATTTATCATAATACCTTTTTCTCTGATTCGTGAGGGAAAGGGGTTTATTTTTTATAGTTAAGATAGATTTTAAATTGCCTTTTAGTACAAATCCCCCTTTCCAGGTTTTTCCTTACTGTGTGTTGTCTTTTTGTGGAATATTTGCTTTATTTGTACCTGATTCTTCTGGAGGCAGATGGTGCTTTTTTTCCAAACTCACAATAGTTATGTAAATGGTTTAATCAGAACTTTCTTGCCATCTTAGTCTCTTTACTACCTGACGGGTAAGTGGCATTTTTTTCTTACTAATTCATTTCTTTGAGAACTTTCCACTGGGTTCAATGTTTTGTATTAATGTGCCTTTTGATTTTTCTTTGGTTGATATTTTCCCCCTTAACTCTGTTATAAATAAGGAAATTATGATTGATAAAAGTTACATGTCTTTGTAGTAAATGGAATTCCTAAAAAGTAATGTTTTCATTATAGAATTTTAGAGGGAAAATATTTAAGGGGAGTTTTTTTTTTAGTTGTTTATTTTTTACATTGAGATTTTGAAAGTATTTTTTATTTAAGTATATTCCGAGTTTCTCTTCAGTTTAATTTTTTAGAGTTGTGCTGTGCAGAAATCATCATGTGTGTGATTTAGAGCAGGTTTTCAGCAGTGGGAGCTGCCATCTTTTGTGAGGTTGGGTCCTAGCAATCAGGGTGACTCTTCCACTTCCTTTATAGATTTCTACTTTTGTCTCTAGGCTCTTAGTGTTTCCTATTTGGCTTGGGGCAAAATTCTCAGTTAAAACTTTTTTTTTTTTAAAGCTGGCTTTACAGGCAACACCTCTGGCAAATCAGTCAGTTTCTAGGTGGGGCAAAAGAAAAAAAAAGGATCTGACCTGAACTGACTGGAATTAAAGACAGCCTGAATATGGAAGGCAGCTTGATTTGAAATAATACAATGTTTGAAACTTACCAGGGGCAGCATGGGAATGGCTTAATGTGCAAACAAAAACTTGAAAATGCATTATATTTAGAAAGTATGTATGTAAATATGTTCATATAAATATTAAAATTTTGTTTCAGGTTTTGAAATATTTTGAGAACTTCATATCTAATGGAAAACTTGAGCCATACCAAGTAAGATTTTTACAGAAGGGAATACTGTAGAGCATGAGGTTAGAGGAAAGCAAATTAATAAAATGGCTAAGAGGCAGAACTAATGCAAGCAGTGATTTTGTGACACAGTTAAACACGGCTCCTAGCTGAAGCAGCAACAGTTAATGAGGGAGCTTTAGAGATGGGTGAATTCAGATTCCTTTGGGTTTCAAGCAAATGCAAATAAATATTAGTATCAATAGTATGTTAGAATTCATTGAGTTGAAATTAAATGAATGGGCTGTGAGCCAGAGCCTTAAAATCACCATTTCTAGCACTTCATTATAACGGTACTTTAAAAAATAGCTTTATTGAGGTATAGTTTACACACCATAAAATTCATTGTAAATGTTTATGTCAATAGTTTTAGTAAATGTATAGAGTTGTACAACCATTGTTGCAATCCAGTTTTTTTTTTGGTTTGTTTTTTTTTTGAGACAGAGCCTCAAGCTATTGCTCTGGGTAGAGTGCAGTGGTATCACAGCTCATAGCAACCTCAAACTCCTGGGCTTAAGCGATTCTCTCTCCTCAGCCTCCCAAGTAGCTGGGACTACAGGCACCCATTACAGTGCCCGGCTATTTTTTGTTTGTAGTTGTCGTTTGGCAGGCCTGGGCTGGATTCGAACCCGCCAGGTCTGGTGCCACAGTCGCTTGAGCTACAGGTGCCGAGCCTGCAATCCAGTTTTAAGCATTTCCATCAGCTCCAAAAACTTGATGCTGCTTTGCAGTTCATTCCCACTTCTGTTCTCAGCCCTAGGTACTGAAGGTCATTCTTTCTGTATAAATTTTCCCTTTCCAGAAATTTCACATAAGTAGAATCATACAATTTGTAACCCTTTGTATCTGACACCTTTTACTTTGCACAGTGTTTTTTCAACCTTTTTAAAATTTTGACACTTGAACCTATAGTTAAACTTTCATGGCACACTTAAATTATGTTGGTCAAAAGGGTTAAAAAAATACACTTACTGTGCTTTGAACTTCTTTTGAAAATAATCTTTAAAAATTTTTTTGAGACAGAGTCTCACTACGTTGCCCTCAGTAGAGTGCTGTGGGTCACAGCTCACAGCAACCTCCAACTTAAGAGATTCTCTTACCTCAGCCTCCTGAGTAGCTGGGACTACAGGCGCCCCCGACAAGGCCCGG